GGGGCGCCTGCTGCGGCTGGACGAGACCTCGGGCTGGCTCAGCGTCTTGCACCGCATCGACCGCGAGGAGGTGAACCAGCTTCGCTTCACCGTCATGGCCCGGGACCGGGGCCAGCCCCCCAAGACAGACAAGGCCACGGTAGTGCTAAACATCCGCGACGAGAACGACAACGTGCCCACCATCGACATCCGTAAAATCGGGCGCATCCCGCTGCGGGACGGGGTGGCCAGCGTGGCCGAGGACGTGCTGGTGGATACTCCTATCGCGTTGGTGCAGGTGTCGGACCGGGACCAGGGCGAGAACGGCGTGGTGACCTGCACCGTGGTGGGAGACGTGCCCTTCCAGCTCAAGCCGGCCAGCGAGGGCGAGGGGGAGCCACAGAACAAGCGCAAGTATTTCCTCCACACTTCGGCCCCTCTGGACTACGAGGCTGTCCGCGACTACAACGTGGTGATCGTGGCTGTGGACTCGGGCAGCCCGAGCTTGTCCAGCAACAACTCTTTGCTGGTGCGGGTCGGGGACACTAATGACAACCCTCCCGTGTTCAGCCAGGCCGTGCTGGAGGTCTCCTTCCCGGAGAACAACTTGCCCGGCGAGAGGGTGGCCACAGTGGTCGCCACGGACGCGGACAGCGGCAAGAACGCCGAGATCACCTACTCCCTGGAGCCCTCGCCCCTTTCCTCGGAGGCACCAGGAGGCATCTTCAGCATCGACCCGGACTCGGGCGACGTGTCGGTGCAGGCGGTGCTGGACCGCGAGCAACGCGACACCTACGAGTTCCAGGTGACGGCCCGGGACAAGGGGGTGCCTTCCCTGCAGGGCTCCACCACCGTGGTGGTGCGGGTGGCGGACCGCAACGACAACGAGCCGCGCTTCATGCAGGACGTGTTCACTTTCTACGTGAAGGAGAACCTGCAGCCCAACAGCCCCGTGGGCATGGTGACCGTGATGGACTTCGACAAGGGCCGCAACGCCGAGCTCAGCCTCTCCATCCAGCCAGGCGAGCACGACCAGGCAGCCGGCATCTTCTCCATCGAGAACGACACCGGCACCATTTACTCCACCGTCTCCTTCGACCGGGAGCAGCAGACCAGCTACACTTTCAAGGGGAAGGCCGGCGGACGGGGGGCGGCGCGGC